CTCTGATCGCTCTTAGAGTCAGGGCTGGATTTGATCTTAGGAAAGGAGTCTACCAGGGCTGTGGGAGGAGGGAAAAACAACTCAAGAGCCAAACTATCCTCCCCACGCAGAGGCTGAGAGATGGGGCCCGCCTATGAGGAAGAGCACACATTCATCAGGCTGGTGACCCCGCTGTACCGGCGCTTTGTGGCGTGTAACAAAGACTGCGGAGCAGAAAATTGGAGTTCAATTTGCCGTCCATCCCGTGCGCAGCGCTCAGCCCATTCCAGTCCCTGGCAGGCACCTCTGCGCTTTATCATAAATAATAACACACGCGGCTCTATGGCCCTTTCCACAGTTAGAGTCCCCAAGCAATTTACAAGCTGGATTATCCACAGCGGCCTGCACAGCCGCATCGGCCCCTCCCTGGCACAATGGAGAACTTGCCCCACGGCCCATCTTCCTGTCCTCTTTCCTGGCACTTGGGTGTGAAGCCCTCCAGCCCTGCCTGGCAGTCTCAGGCCCTTGCTGACACAGGAATAGGGGGCACAGTAGCCCCCTTAGGGGTTGGAGAGATTACTCAGTGATTAAGAATGCATACTGCTCTTACAGAGGACTTTGGATCCCAGCACTTGGAACAGGTAGCTCAAAAGCACCTGTAACTCCAGCTCCAGGGCATCCTACACCCCAGGCCAACTGTAGGCATCTGCATTCATGTATACACACACAATTATGGGGATACACATAATTCAAAATAGCAAAAATAAGTCTTAAAAAAGAAAGTGGCCTCGCGTCTCCACCAGGAGCTCCATTTTCCACCTCTGAACCTTGGGCAGCCTGTGAGGTTTCATCAGCAGAGACTGCTGGGCCCAGAGGGATGGGACAATTTGCCCCAGATCACCACATGGGCTGCTGTGCAGAGGCCCAAACCTGGGGATGGTGGTCTTTAGTTTGTGGCACACAAACCTCATGGAGGGCGGTCTGTGGGTGGGGCTGGAGCCCCTGGGAGGCGGGGCTCAGGCAGAGCCTGCAGGGGCTCCAGCCCCACCCTCTGCTCTTCCTATCACTAGAGTAGAACTGAGGCCACATGGCATGACACCATTTCACCCATTTCAAAGAGACACCCAAGGCAGGCCGGTCCCTAAAGGTGTATGTGCAGGGGTTGGGAGAAGGGGAAACAGACACGATGACTTGATAAGTTTGCTTGTGGGGTGGCGAGAGTGCTTTGGGGTGAAGTAGGATGGTGGCTGCACAGAACAGTGATGTCACTGAATTGCCTGCTCTGGTGCTGTGTGGCATCTCAGCTGAATCACAGAGTAAGACAGGTAGAGCCCCACGCCACCCAGCCCCAAGGCCCTGACCCTCTTGGCACTCTGTTCCACCATCCAGTCCCAGGCAGCCTTTAGGAGGGAATGCCACTTAGGAGTTGTAATTGCTTGTTTCTGTCCTAGGCAGCCACCTGGTTCAGTCTGCCGCAGCCCACCCCTGGCCTGTCTGACACCAGGAGCACCTTCCCATACTAGGTGCTGGTCTGCTCTCTGGGAGCCAGAGGTGCCTGGGTTCTCATTGGTTCCCATCAGCCTCGGGCTTAAGGACATTTGAAATGGGGGCAGGAAGCCTGGGTTTTGCAGGGGCAGATGGGATATGAAAGACAGCTGCATTGGCAAAAGCTCAGACATCGATTTAGCGCCCAAGCTCCTCGAGTCCTCCTGGCTTATCTTGGTGTGTGTGTGTGTGTGTGTGTGTGTGTGTGGTGGGGCCATGTCAACCTACTTTGCTGGCTTTTGTTGACAGTCAATGCCACAGAGGCCCAAATACTCCTGCTGTAAGTGCCTCCCCTCCACCCCTGTGCTCTTTCCACAGAAGCCTGGGTCCTGTAGCTGATGCCAAAGAAAAGGAGAGACAGGGTGATGAAGAAAGTCACCAGGCAAAACAGGTCATTTTACCATGAACAGCTCCACGAGAGCAGCGGCTCTCACAGAAATGAGTTGGAGCTCTGTCTCTGGGTCCCTGGACCTTCCTGAAGGTGGAGCGAGGCAGGCTGGTTCTTAAGGCTGAGCTGGAGGCCAGGCCAGCTGGAGGCCACTTCACAGCTTGGTCCCTGATAGTTAGAATACTTTGGCTGCTGTCCCCTTGTAGCTTCTCCAGGGGAAGGTATCTGTGGTATTCATCTAGCCCACAACTCTTTGGTTGGCAGATGGAGAAACTGAGGCACAGGAGAGAACTTGAGTGCTGGCTTCTTTCTCACCTGATAGTGATCAGCTTCATTTCCCAACTATAAATTGTGCACAAGGACTCAATAGACACTGTCCTTTTCTAAGTTCAGATCCCACCCCTCCCCGCAGAGAGCCCTCCCCCAGTCCCTGGTCTCCAGAAAGTCCCAGATGTACTAATTGATGGGGAAAGAGTGGGTTCCCAAACGTGCATCATGGCTCCTTGCTGTGGGTTGAATTGTGTCTCTCAAAAAGACACACAGAACTCTCTACCAGGTACCTGGCTTGGTACTATGGATTGTTTGTTCCTGTTTTTGAGACAGGGTCTCATGTATCTTAGGCTGGCTTGGAACTTGTTATGTAACTAAGGATAACCTTGAACTTCTGATTCTAGCCTCACCTCTTGGGTTCTTGGATTACAGGCAAGCACCACCACTTCTGGTTTATGTGGTGCTGGCAATGGAACCCAGGCTCTATGAACTGAGAGCTACATCCCCAGGCGATGTATATGGTATTTGGAAGTGATGTCTCTGCAGACATCATTAGGCTTAGATGAGGTTCCTGGGGTAGGGCCTCCTCGGATATGGTTGACATCCCCAGAAATATCCGGGGAGAAGATGGCCCCCGAGGACAGAGGCAGAGTCACAGGCAGAGGATACCGAGGATGGCCTTGGTGCCAGGGACCAGCATGCTGAGGACAGGGGTTCTCCAGCTGGCTATAGTTAATGTGCAAACGGCTCTGTGGACATCTTGATCTCTGCCCCCTGATAGTCTGAGAGGGAGATGAGATGTGCTTGCTGTTTCAAGCTACCAACTTGGGGTGCTGTAGGACAGCCCCAGAGAGCTAATTCACCCTCACCAACACACCCAAACACCAGCGAGCTTTGCAGAGTCCTTTTCAGTGAGAAGGTTTTCCGGACATCCTTTCAACAGAGGTGGTCCCTGTGTGCTCACACACCCACACCCACTGGAGTGTAACCCAGAATGATGCCTCTAAATGTCGAAATATTCCCTACTTTAACCTATGAGCGGACATGTCTGGGCCTCTTTTGAACATTCTAGGCAAGCAATCCATAACCAAGCTACGTCAACAGCACTTGGCCCTTTTAGTACCTTCAGTATCTAATCTCACACTGAGTAGACGTTCAATAAATACTGAACGAAGGAACGAATAAAAAGAATCCTCTTACTTCCAGAATGTTGCATGATGACTCCCAACCCTCTACTGATCGCTTCCCATTCTCACTGGTCACCCTAAACACTTGTCTTGCCCTCCCTGTATCCAGACACAGCTGCGGTGTGGGCCAGAGCTCAGCTAATGGTAAGTGACTTTGTCCTGAGTGGCGGGAGCCCATTGTGACAGGATTGGCAGGTTGGCAGCCAGCACAGGCATGATGGATGGCTCTGCATGGCAGGCCATTTCAACTCATTTCCTGGAAGCCAGGGCCTCTGGGAAGGAGAGCACTAGATCCCCTGCCCATGCCCTTTTCACCCTTGCCTCTGCCCTCTCCTCCTGCCCAGAACTAAAAGCCCTGCTCATCCCTGTAGGCTGGGGATGGGGGTAGAGGTAATGGATGGGAGATATTTGCTGTTCCCAGTCCCAGGAATTGAATAAGACGTTCTTGTATCCCACTATTTTTCCTGCCAGGACACTCATTCAGAGAGCGATATGACAGCCACCCACTTGCTGTCCCTTCTCTCTTGTGGCTTGCCTGGCCTGGAGAAGGGGGCACTGTCTCTTTTCTGTTTGTGTGTGATCCCTGCATCCCGGGTAGTTTACTGTAGTAAAATGAGAAAGCTGATACCTGAAAACAGGAGTGGCCACCCAAGATGCTCAGAGGGCCATGTCGGGGCTTCATCCCCTAAGAGGCACAAAGTGGGTTGGAAAAGCAAAGAAGTCACCTCCAGGTGCTCCTCCCACCATCTATGGCTCTGAGAGAGGCAGAGACAAAGGCTCCAACTTGCTGTCATAGTTCCCATAGGCCAAGGGTGACCTGGGATAGCTCAGGGAAAACGAGGCTGCCAGCAGAGGTCAAGCCATCCAGAATTTACCTCAAATGTTGTGACAAGATACCCATGTCCCTTAGGGCCAGTGTGACCCGCCAACCAGGTTGCTCTTCTAGGTCCCATTCCCCTTTAGGTCATGGGCACCTAGCCCTCCCTGGGCACTAGGAAGAAAGTAAGAAAGAGCTGGAAGACAGAAGCTGAGGAGGGGCAGAGGGGTCCTTATTAGCTCTGTGAGTCCAAAGAAGCACTCCATGGGGAGCTGACACAGGGGAATGGAGGCAACAGAAGGGGCCTTCATGGGGCAAAAAACCAATAGGGTCCTTGGAGACAGACCTCTGCCTGGCATCTTGCCTGTCCCAGTGTTGGGCAGGAGGGAAGTGTTGAGCTGTGGTTTGGCAATGGCCGACCCCAGCATGGGAAAGGGGGAGTTTACAGGAAGGCTACAAGTTACTGGAAAGGACAATAAATTAATATAATAGGGCTGTTTGGCTGGTGACAAGGCATAAAACATGTGGTCCAAAACAGCCCCATGTGAGACTGTCAACAGGACAGATGGGAGGCAGGACAGAGAAGAAATAACGGGAAAGGGGTGTCAGAGGGGTGGAGGAGAGCTGCAGGGCAGAGGTCGCCTCAGCTCACCCTTCCCTCAATCAGCCTTGGGCAGGATTCCACTGCAGAACCACTTCCTTTTTGGCTCCTTCATCCCCACCTCCCCACAAAGCCTTCATGAACTTTCCCCCCTGTTTTTTTTTTTTTTTTTTTTGGTATCCTTGACACTCATTCGATATAAATGCTCTCAGCTATGAGCCATTATGGACAGCATGCATTACAAAGGGTCTACTTGCTCACCCAGCTCACACTGCTCATTCAGCAAGTGCTTTCTGAATGCCCACTGTGTGCCAGGAGCTGTCACAGCAAGCAAGGAGCGAACCCCAGCTCTCAAGAGCTCACAGGTGGAGGAATCACTTGACAGAGAGACAACACTCTGGAGATCGAAGCCTTTGACTAGGGGGCATAGCTTGTGTGCTGCAAAGGCTATTGGGTAAGAAGGGTCCTCAAAAATGTTTTAAAGGGAGGGAGGTGTGTTAGGTTGGGGGGGTGGTCTGGAAGGCTTGACAGAAGTTCCAATTTGCACAAAAGTCAGGGCATGTAAGAGACACAGTGGCTTCTGGGAACTTCAGGTATTTTGGCACGATGGGTGGGAGGGTGTAAGCTGGGTGGGAGCCAGGACCTGTTGACTTGAAGAGCAGGCCTTGTGTGAGGAGTTGAATCCAACAGCTAGTTTCTCCAGTTGGATGCCATATGATCTTGGTCAAATCATCTATTGCCATCAAGCTGACTTATTCACTGGGCAAGAGGATAGAATGTAGGTACCAGACTCTAGAAGATGCAGGTCTATCTCCTAGCACAGTTCCTGGTTTTGAACGAATTAATGCATGAAGGAATGAAGGAAGGAAGGAAGGTAGGCTGGGTCCTTAGGGAAGGTCATGTCCCAGAGAATAAAAGGGCTTATAGTCAGTGTTAAGGAGCTTGGAGATCATCCAAAGGGTAATGGAGAAGCCATGTTAAGTCAGAAAGTGTCATGAATACACAGAGGATGGTTTGGATAGCTCTTCACCAGGTCCCCATCCTTCACCCAGGTCCCCATCCTTCACCCAGGTCCTCATCCTTCACCCCAGGTCCCCATCCTTCACCCAGGCCCCCATCCTTCACCCAGGTCCTCATCCTTCACCCCAGGTCCCCATCCTTCACCCAGGCCCCCATCCTTCACCCAGGCCCCCATCCTTCACCCCAGGTCCCCATCCTTCACCCAGGCCCCCATCCTTCACCCAGGCCCTCATCCTTCACCCCAGGTCCCCATCCTTCACCCAGGCCCCCATCCTTCACCCAGGCCCCCATCCTTCACCCCAGGCCCCCATCCTTCACCCAGGTCCTCATCCTTCACCCAGGTCCCCATCTTTCACCCAGATCCTCACACTTGCCAAGGCCTTCATCTCCCACTCAGACCAGGCAAAAGAGAATGAGGTACCCCTGTCTGACCTTGGGTGAGGATGGGGTAAGGACCCTTGGCTTCTCAGCATAAGCCTCTCAGCATTACAACTTATTCCATCAACCTTCCATGCTTAGTGTATGTGGATCAGCTGAGGGCCAGGCCCTGGGAGCACAAAAATATGGAGCACCTCCCCTGCCCAGAGGCCATGGCCAGCTGCCTGCAGAGATAGGATTCATTTGGCAGGAGATGACTAAGACCCTGAAGCATCACTGAGCACGCTCGTGGAAGACACAGAAATCAGGTGACAGGCACACAAGGCAGCATGGGCCACTGAGGACTAGCAGGACAGCCAGGGAAGCTCCACAAAAGGAAACGGACAAGGCAGCCATGAGTCATCAGCTCCTTGATTAAGCGGAAGTCTATGGAAGGACAGTTTTGCTTGGGGACAGGGCGGATCAACTGCTTCATCTTTGAGCTCATGGGGCTGTGTCTACAGATACCCAGGCTCTAGACAGAGGTTGCTAGGGAGAAAGTGCATGAGAGTAAAGGGCGGGGGATGACAGGGCAATGGGGATGCATAGCAGAGAGCCCCCAAAAGTGACATTTTTATTCCAAGTCACAGCCAGGTAAATAAGTGGCAGGCTGTGTTCAATACAGAGGAAGATCCACTCAGAGTGTTGGAGGGTGGGAAAGAACATGACCTGGCCCGTTCACTCCTGACCAGAAATGGGAAGAGCCTAACAGTCATTTTGTTTCCATTGTTGTGATGAAATACCCTGACAACGAGCAAGTTGGGGCGGGGGATTGTTTCATCTTATAATTCCAGATTATGGCCCCTCATTGCAGGGAAGTCATGGCAGGAGTTTGAAGCAGTTGGTCACATCACATCCACAGTAAGAGCAGAGGGAGAATGAGTATACACATGGACGTTTGCCTGCTTTCTGTGCCTGATTTCTCCACTTTCACACAGCTCAAGACCTGCCGTCTGGGGGATGGCGCTGCCCACAGTGGGCTGGGTCTTCCTCCATCAATTAACTTAAATAAGACACTCCCCCTCAGTCATGCCCACAGGCCCTAATGAGCTGAGATGCTCTTCCCAGGTGATCCTAGCTTGTGTCAAGTTGACAATTAGAGCTAACCATCAGAGGCTCCACGTTGGTTCTGTGTTGAATGGAGAAGAAACAGGGATCTGAAAAGGCACAGGCTTTGGTCCTAGCCTTCTTCACAGGCTGTATCCAGAGTCTGAGGCTTTATCCCAAGGGCTGCAAGAAGTTACATAGCCACCCACACCCCGGCAGTTCAGTAAGATATGAACCAAAAGACGTCATGGCAGGCACTGAGAGACTAGTGGGGGACCGGGACAGAGGTGACTGGGGGTGGTTTGTATGAAAACAGCTCCCCATGGGTGCATATGTTTGAACACTTGGTTCCCAGTTGGTGACTATAGTCTCAGGGCATGCAGGCTTGCTGAAGACATATAACTCTAGGGCTCTTCTTTGAGTCAGAAGACTGGCACCATTTTGAGTTAGCAAACTCTGCCCATTTGTGGATTGAGATGTGGGCCCTCAGCTGCTGCTCCAGCCATTTGCCTTCATTGCCTTCTCCTCTCCTTCACAAAACCTCACCCTCTGGCACTGAGTGTCAGCCCAAACTCGCTCTTTCTCAAGTTGCCTTGGTCATGGTGTTTTATCACAGCCACAGAGAAGTAACAAAGACAATGACCTTCCAGGTGGCACTGCGTTTTCTTCAGGAGTTGGCTTTCTCTGGGAAAATGAAGGGGAGGGCAGAGCAGTCAGTTTGGATGGAGTCTGGTGGGTTCAGGGAGCTGGGAGAGGGAAGGGAGGTAGCAAGAAGTGTGGTCCCTGGGAGCTGTTTCAGAGTAGAGGGTAGGGTTGTCTGAAGGTGTATGTGTCTTAGTTAGGGTTTACTACTGCTGTAAAGAGACACCATGACCATTGCAACTCTGACAGAGAAAACATTTCATTGAGGGTGGCTTGCTTACAGTTTCAGAAGTTCAGTCCATTATCATAATGAAGGGAAGCATGGCAGTGGTGCTGGAGCTGAGAGTGTTGCATCTTACAGGCAACAGGAAGTTGGCTGACTGTCACACTGAGTGAAGCTTGAGAAAAAAAGACCTCAAAGCCCACCCCCACAGTGACACACTTCCTCCAACAAAGCCACACCCCCTAATAGCGCCACTCCCTTTGGGGACCATTTTCTTTCAAACCACCGCGTGTGAGTCAGCTTTCCATCCCTAGAATACCCGGGATGGCAACTGATGAGAGAAAAGGTTCACTTAGCACAGTTCAGGTAGTTTCTGGCCATGGTCAGTCACATTGCTTTAGGGCTTCGGAGAGTGCATCTTGCGGCAGGGTAGAAAATGTTCACTTTACAACCAGGGAGTAAATAAGGAAAAGGATGAGACTGTGGTCCCACAGTCCTCTTCAAAGACAAGTTCCCAATGACCATCACCACCAAATAGTGTCTTGACGGGGACCACGCCTTTGTCGTACGGATCTTCATAGGACAGTTAAGATTTCAGCTAAGGCAGGAATGGGAAGCACTGGACATGAGAGCCCTGGGCACTAAGAGGAACACACTGGGGTAAGAGCAGGGCTGTGGAAAAGGTGCTGGGTCCAGTTGGGGACAGCCATGGTCAGTTAGATGTCCAGGTGGGAAATTCAGGTACATGGCTAGAGTGTGGACTCCAGTGCCATCAGTTAGCATAGCTGAGGATAAACTGGAACTGTGTATCTTGGAAATTTCCCCAGAGAGAAAGGGAGAATGATGAACTAGGAACTCCTAAGCATATCTCCTGTCTCATAGGATTCCTACTCCACGCCAGATCAGCTCTACTGATAGCCTGCAGGTGTAGTGAAACTGACCATGCAACACATACTTGCAAGATGCCAGGTGGTCCCAGGAGCTTGAGATGTGTGAAAACCCACATGCCAATCCTTCAAGGTCATTATCACTTCTCTAACAGATGGGGAGGCAGCAGTGCATTGACAGAGAGGCTCTGCCCAAGGTCATGTGGATGTAAGCAGCAGAGGAGGACTCACATTCAGATCTGGCCAAGTCCCAGGCTCAGACTTCTGTCCCAAGGACACCTGCCTCCATGTCAAGCTCCAGGTGAACAAAGAAGGCAGCTTGCCTCATGTTCTTTCAAGAAGGTAGTTACGGCCCCATCCCCATTTCTCCATGGCTCTCCCACTCCTCTGTTTATTCTCTACACTATGGGACTATCAGGTGGGACAATAGACCCATCTCTCTGTGCCTCATGTGCACATAATTCATTTTTCCCTTGAAGGTCAGAACTTCTGTTTGGGGTGAGCGAAAGTCCCTCTGGCCATCCCTGTAGATGACATGTGCCCTCAGTAACTATGAACTATGTGGAAGGAACCACAGCCCCATCTTGGATTCTCACTTGCTTTCATGTCTCTATCCAACACCCAACACTTTTCTTGCTAGCTTTCATGGGGCTTGCATATTCTTCCCATCTCTCTCCCTCTTGAGTCTTCTTAGACCATCTTGGCTGTTCTGATCCTTCTGTAAATACCCACTTTGGGGGATTTAGCTTTCTTTTCAGTGGTATGTGGAAAATATCTCCCTAGCCAGAAGAAAGATAGTTCAGGGGAGAGATGAGGTAATCTAGCTTGTAGCAAGAAGTGCTTATGAGGAGGCACCGGGGAACCAGGCTATGATATGTAGTGAGGATTCAGGGAGCTGAGATGTAGTAGAGGGAACACCAGGTTGGAACGCACAGGGGATGCATGGTGAGCTGGGAGATTCTGGGCAATGACTGAATCTCTCTGTGTCTTCATGTTCTCATGTGGAATTGGGTTAGAGGCATTAGAACAAAGCGTATAAAGGTAAACAGGCCAGGCAAGGAAACTGGTGTGTGTGTGCGTGTGTGTGTGTGTGTGTGTGTGTGTGTGTGTGTGTGTGTGATAAACACAGTAAGTTAGGTTTCTTTCCTCCTTTGCTGCCTCCCTACTATGTTTTACCTCCTTGGCCTCTGGAATATTGAGGGTTCCAGCCTTCTGTTTTGGCATTTTCCTAAGTGAGAGCATCCATGTCTCTGGTTTTGGCTACTGCATGGGTGATCATGCCTCTCATATCTTTTTGTGTTCTCTGGCCTGAATGAACCAACTCAATGGTGCTCATCAAAACTCTTGTTCACCTGGCTCTTAGAATGTGGCTTTCTGGAAAACTACAGTCTTTGCAGGTATACTTAGTTAAGATGAAGTCACATAGGAATAAGATGATCCTTTGGCACAATGACAAGGGTCGTTATAAGGAGACCATGGGTTTAAAGCGAGACACAAAGAGAAGAAAGGCATGTGAAGACAGGCAGAGATTGGAATGGTATATTTACAGTTTAAGTAGAGTAAAGACTACAGTAGACACTAGAAGCTAGGAGAGTGGTTTGGGACAGGTTCTCTCCCCAAACCTCCCTAGAAACCAACAACATTTTTGGCTTCTTGATTTCAGACATCTGTGATCCAGAGTTGTAAGATGATACATCTCTTTTATTTAAGCCATATGATTTGTGCAACAGCAGCCACAAAAAGCTAATAGAGTTCATATAAAGTGTGGGGAGAGATACCTCTTTAATCCTGGACCATTCCCATTTTCCCTGTGCAGTGCCCAGTAGGGGTTGATTGACATGGACATGGGGCTGGGCAAATAAAGCTGTCCTGAACTTGAAGAGGCAAGAAGGGCAAGCTTATTTATGCTCCATGTTTCATTTCTGATGTCTCATTTGTGGTATTTTTCTCCTTAAGATACATGGAATACCAGCATTCCTACATACAGGTATTGGGACTTTTTAAATCTTGACAGACTGGTCATAGGTTGTACCTCTATTGTTCGTTGGACGGCAGCAATTGTGTCTCATGGCACCACACATGCCTGCCTTTCACACATCTCACAGGCTTGTTCCCATATATCTTGATAAAAAATTTCCCTCCATTATCGTCTTAACATGTCATGGCATGATGTTGTGGCTTCAGTATGGTTTTTCCCCTTTAAGCTCACTCTTGTTCTAACTCCTATTGTGTAAACTTAAAAGGTAGAAGCTTACTTGACCATAGTGTCTAAAGGTTTAATCTGAAGGAGGTAATTAGGGCTGGATAAAGCCATCAGGGTAGGACCCTATGATGGAATTCTGCTGTCTTTACAGGGAGAAGGAGAGAAAGCAGAAGTCACACACACATCATCTGGTGTCTTGCCAGGAGACACCACACAGCACCTTATGACTCTGCCACCAAGAAGTTTACCAGGAGGTGCATCCCGTTGTCTTGGAACCCCAAAGCTGTGAGAGGCAGCATAAACCTTTCTTCTTCCTAACTTACCCAGTCTGTGGTATTGTGATATGAGCAACAGAAAACAGACTAAGATGCACAGTATTACCTTAAGAAGTAAACCATTTGTGGTAACTTCTGGTGGGAGTCATCAATCCTACTCCTGGAAATCCCCACTAGCTTTTCATGGTTGTCTCAAACCCGTGGGAGATTACTGAAGTCACCCCCTCCATGTTCTTGCTAACCCTGGGTTTCTATCACCACCATCTAGCTTGGTCCTAACCACATCCTCAGGCCCCCTGCACCTGGCTGCCTCCCTCCATACTCTTCTTTCCCCCACAACCTCTGAGACATCACAGGTTCCAGCTTTCTGTTTGGGACCACCATTTCCCTAGGTGAGAACATTTGCATTTCTAGTCTTAGCCACCGAGTGACGGATGAAGTTCCCCTAGCTTCAATCCTGACTTCTTGCCTGAGTGAGTTAACTACATTTTGTTGGCCATCATGTTCACAAATATAAAACATCCAAAGCAACATTCAAGAGCCTGCAAACTTGTATGGTTCTCCCTAATTCTCTAGTACAGGTAGTGGCACCGTGGGCCATGTTACCCAGGTCAGACACAGTGGTGGCTTTTGTGTCTTTTCTTTCACCTCCACCACTCACCCACTCCAGGCTGTGTGTGAGCCCAGCTGCCGTGTTGTGATGGCTGCTCTAACCCTGGTATTTAACACAGCGTGGAACCCACAGCCAGTAGCTAACAAACACTTTTAAAAAATAACTAAGAAATTAGTCCTGTTGGGTTTACGCCCTAAGTGTTTCTGATGCCGGCAAGCTACCCAGCCCCACCTCTTTCTTCTCCACTCTGGAATCCATTTTCCAGGCCCTCACTGACCTCTGGCCACTTGTCATTAGCTCAGTGGTCTACTTAAATGAAAGGGATATGTAAACCATGTGCTTCATGTTCAAATTTCTTCCACATGCACAGGAACCATGGCCTATAGGTCAAATATTCTGTCTTGGCAAAGAGTCCATAGACCTTTCTATCATTAACCACATGTGTGGCAAATATTGGGTAAATACCAGTTAAATAGATTCTTTGACATTTTATAGTTTCCTACCGTGACAGTTAATATTGTCAACTTGACAGAATCTAGAACCATCCAGGGGAAAGTTCTGTAAGGGATTGTCTAGATTAGGCTAATGGAAATATGAAGACCCATTTTAAGTAGTGGTCCATGATGCCTTGTGAGTCAGGCTGAATAAATAGGGGAAAAGGGACAAAGTGAGCTGGGTGCTAGCACTCACTCTCTCTGCTTCCTGACTATGGATGTGATGTGACAGCTGCCTCAAGCTCCTGCCACCAAGTCTTCCCCACCCTCACTCAATCTGTGATCCCAAATGCACCCTTCCCTCCTTATGTTGCTGATATACATATTTTGTTACAGCAACAGGAGAAGTAACCAATACACGTCTCAAACCATGCAGACTTATCCTTAGCTTGTATTCTTGTCAAGCCTTCTGGGCTCTTGTCTACCAAGCTCCCACACACCTACCTGACATCGAACCCTATAAGGTTTAGGTCATCTTTCACTCCCATTATCACCTCCACCATGCCCCATTATAACGGTGTCCTCGTGTAACTGTCCTCTGCTTCTACTGACTCCCAATGAGAAAGACTGCCTTTGGGGGTGACCCCGGCAATATGAGATGTCTTCTGTTGTTACAACTTAGGGAAGGGGGACACTAATAGTCTTGATGGATAGAGGTCCCAGAAGCCCCTTCAGATCCAAGTTCATCCTCTCATCCTCTGGCTGTTGATCTGGAGGCTAACTGCTCTCGTCTAGTCCTTAGGACATGACAAAGCCTAAGACATCGTCTTATCAGCATTGCCTTCACTTGATATATGTCAATGAGGAGGCCCCAGAAACTGTGTTCCAAGCCAGTTCCTCAGAGTCTCTGGCCCCACACAGGCTGGGAGCCAGAGCAACCTACACTGCCCAGGACAGGCTCATCACAAGGAGTGACCTGGCTCAACATGTCAGTGCTCAACATGGAGGAACACTGGATGGGACTTGAGCAAGGCAATTCCCATCTTTCTGTACACTCTGGGGACTTGCTTGTGTCTCAGTTACTTTCCATCACTGTGACAAAACACCATGACCAAGGCAACTTACAAAAGAAAGCATTTGATTTGGCTTCTGGTTCCAGGAGGTTAGGATCCAGGATGGCAGAACCAATGGACAGCTGAGAGCACTCATCTTGATCCACAACCCAAGGCAGAGAGAGAGAGAGAGAGAGGTGGGGGGAGAACGAATACTGGGAATTGCATGAGTCTTAAAACCTCAAAGCCTGTCCCAGTGACACACCTCCTCCCACAAGGCCACACCTCCTAATCCTTCCCAAACAGTTCCAACCAACAGGGACCAAACATTCAAATGTCCACGGGCGGGGTAGGGGGGCATGCCCATTCGAACCACCACACCTTGTCCTTGCCACCTATCAGCCCTTGTTGTAAGCCTGCTGACTGGCTATTCCACACATGGTCCCAGCCCAAGGGCACAGTCCAATTCCTTCTGCAAACTGGAGGCTGCAAAGGCAGGCAGCTGGCTGTCTCCCAGACCCGAATCAGACAGCAAGGACAAAGGCAGAGGAGAGCAGTGTCCTTTAGAGAGTTGCTGGCTTCCTTCAGGAGCCAGGGCGGATGCAACCAATTTAGCTAACAAGTTGCCAGGGCCACGGTACCGTTGCCAGACAGTGAAATTGCCCTTCTTACCAACACGACTGCCAGGCAGATGATACAAACAAGCCTGTTAATTAGGCCTGTAATAGCAGCTGTGAAGGGGACATTTCTCCAGAAAATAGGGATAGGGACTAGGTGGTAGCTCTTTCTTGTCCCATTAGAGATACAGCCTGAGGCTGGGATTTGCCATTTTGCAGAGAGGCAGGAAGGCACATCTCACTCTAGCTGCTATTCTGGGACATAGGCAAGGCCCGGACAAAGAGATCTGACACAGCTTCTTCAGTAAGTCACAGGGGAAACACTGGATGACTCTCCCATGTTCCAGTAATGTGCCTAGATAACACATAATACATGTCATGTAATAAGGGTGAGACTGGGCATCAAATCCTTTCTCTTTTCTCAGCTTCAAGCCTCTGGTCCCCTCTGCTGTCTCCCTGGAGGCTGACTGCTCTCCTCCAGTTCTCCAAGGAAGCCTGGTGACTGCAGGATGCAGTCAAAACAACAGTCTATCTTAGAAGATCAAGGGCATCTTATCAGTATGCTTTTCATTAGGTACATATTAATGGAGAGGTGCCAGAAACCTATTCTGACCCAACTCCTCAGAATCCTTGATCCTGTAGCCAAGGATTTAGGCAGGCTGGGAGCCAGGATATGCTCAAGTCCCCTGGGGCTGATTGGCATGGTGGCTTGGCCAGGCTTCAGGAACAGGTTGCCGAGCCTGGAGGGACAACCTTAGAGCAGGCAAGCATATCTCTTAGTAGGCAGGTTCATCAACATAGGTTTATACCTTCAGCGGTAGGGGAATGGTCTCAGACACCCCTACAGGTCCTTGGACACAAGCCACCCTCTGGGGTGCCATGCCTACCTCTGCAGTCCAGACCACCACTCCAGCCTGTCCTTATATTCACTTACACTATGTCCTTTGAAAGACTATATTTTCTATGTAGGGCAGGAAAGTTGTACCCATGCAATCCCAACAATACAGCTAATAAGACTAAAGAAGACCTGGACGGTGACATCAGATGACATGCCAACAAAGATGGGGGAACTCTCACGAGGTCCCACCCTAGATGAAGAGCTACAGGCAATTAATGACAGCAAAATTAATCTTCCCCAACACTGAGCCCCCTAATTGGTTATCCAATACCAAGTGGTCAGCCTTGAAAACATACCTATACCAGCAAACTCAGGAGATTATATGTACATATGTAACAATAATAGTTCAAGCAAAAGAAAAAAGTCCCCGCTTCTACAGGTGCTCTGGGTGGCAACACGGACCACACTCCCGACTATAGTTACTCTTCCTAGAAAGGGGCCTGCCCTCACAGGCAAACCTGTATCCCATGAGGGCATGAACCAGCACCTTCCCTGAGACCCTACACCCTGGCTAAGCCTGTCACCAGCAGGCCTTCTTAAGTTGCCCTCTGGCTTCGGCTCCAGTTCTGTCAAGGAAGTGCCCGTCTTGGAGACTGTGCCCCCGAAGAAGGGTCATTATTGCTAATGCCTTCTCTCCCCCATCTGTTGTGATTGTTTACACTCCACTTGCTAATTAGAGACTAATTAGCTGGTGCTGAAATTCATCACTTTCCAAACACAACACGGCAGCAGGAAGAGCGCAGTGATGCGGGGGTAACATCTGCACCTCCGCTTGGAGCCAAGGCGCCATTCAGCTGCTCCCACTCCCCTCCCTCCTCCTCCTCCCAATACGCTTCCAGAAGGCTTGGGCTGCTGGCTCTTTTTATTCAGCTCCTCAGCACAGGGCAGTGCGGAACATGCAGTGAAAACTCAATACAATCTAGAATAAATAAATGCATGTTCGTCTAGATGAATGGATCGGTGAAGACGGGTCCATGAGTAGACACACAGAGTGGACTGGGGAGTAGGGGAGTAGCGGTGGGCAGTGAGTGAGGCGCAGAACTAACTGCCCACCATTTGGTAGAACACGGCATCCTTTGGTTCAGGATCCTAGGGGAGAGCATTCCCTGAAGAGGGTGGGGCTAATGAGGCCTTTTGGCGTGGTCTGGAGATGGGGGTGTGGGAGGAAAGGCAGATGGGATGGAGAAGGAACAAAGTGGCATCATAAAAGAGGAGTGCAAAGGTTGGTAGCAGAGGAGAAGCTGCAGATTGTGGCCTTAAAAAGTCAGAGGGGTGGCCCTGGCTTGGGTGAGGATGTGTGACTGGACTGGGGAGAAATCTCAGTGACTCTTGGATGGATGCCATCCATTTGAACGACAGCCTGGATTGGAGAAGGCCCGAACTCTGACCTCCTTTCCTCTCATCTCCGGCAGAGTGCCTAATGTTACTCAAAGTTCCTTTCTATTCAGGCCTTGGGCAGCAGGACTGGCTCCTTGGACTCCCCTGAGTCTCCTAGCGCTCCCCCTATGTGGGATGCTCTGAGACCAGTGGCTGCCAGCCAGGGTGGAAGGAAGCCAGGTGGAGGGGATTGCAGTTACCAGAGCAGCCAGGCTTTTCCAGGGAGGCTCTGGAACAACTTATAATGGAAAGGGCAAGAGTGGAGCTTTGTCCTTGCTTCTTTCCCGGTGACATCACGGAAGTCACTACGTTCTCCTACTTGTATCCCTGACCAGGGGTCTACAGTGATCTTAGCCAAGAGCATTCATTACCTGGGCTTGTCCTCAGGGGTCCTGAGCACTTCCCCTCTGTATCTTCTTTAAGAGTAGGATTATGGGAATCATACCACATGGTGGCTGAAGTTTCTCCTACACCACTCACTTGCTGAGTAACTTAGGATCTGCTGTATTGCTTCTCTGAGCTTGTGCGCTCCTCTGAGAAATGAGGCTGGAAACACTAACCTCAATGGCCACCACCAGGGCCAATGAGAGGATAGCTTTAAAGTTTGTTATTCCACGAGTCTGTTGAGTGAATGATAGGTGGAAACTGTGTGGTCTGGCGGCCTCTTGAGAAAGTGTGCCATTTCCTCCTCTGTCCTTGCAGCCAACAGTGGCCTGCTCAATGTCTAGCTCCTGTACTCCAGCAGACTGTGGTTGG